ACATGAGTTTCGTTCATGCGTCGAGTCCATACGAAACAGGTCCGCTGTACCACCTCGAAACGCTGAGGCAAAACAGAGGCTACTTCAATCACACAGCAATGGACAAGCAAAAAGCGAGTTTTCGCGCATGGCTTCTGCCATTGGGAAAGATATTAGCAGCACTACCATAAAGCTAGGAAAACTTGCGCAGCGTAAGTGTAAAGTCTCATCGTTTACTTCCCGTTTATTGACCAGCTTCCAGTCGCGAAACGGAAGACACTGTTTGACGACAGACCAGTGGAGATTAGTGTATGCTTGTTCACCGACGTGGCCGCAGTACGCTAACGTGGGTGTTTCAGGAACTCACATTTATCATCAAACAAGATATTGCAAATATAAACAGGCAAATAGCCGCTCTGCAATCCTATGTTAAGCAAAGGAACGCACAAGCCTCAAAATCTTCAGAGGGGAAACAGGTTGAGGAACACAACCACAATGTCGTCATGATGCTGCAGAGCAAGTTGGCGAATACAAGCATGAGTTTCAAGGACGTTCTGGAAGTTAGGACACAAGTGAGCTGCTAAACCACATCACTTCCACTCGGGCTAAATGTAGTTCTAGAACATGAAAGAAAGCAAGGATCGTACAGAGCAGTTCATGTTCTCTACGGCAGCCGCGACCCACCAGGCTCCACCGAGTAAGTCAACATTGGCGCATAAACGAGCTCTCACGACCAATACGTCCATCAGGTTCGCTACTTCTAAACGGGAGACAGGACCCTATGGGCGACGGAAGCCGACCTAACTCCAAAGGCAAGGGCCGAGCTTTTCAGAATGAAGACGTTCTCGCATTGGACCTTGATTCAGCCGAGGAAGGCTCAACAAAGCACGGAGGCAATGCATTCATGCAAATGCAGCAAATCGAACAACAGGTGATTCAATTGAATGCTGCACAATTACATCTTATGCTAAGGGACTTTTAGGACTCGTATATCCAATCGAGATCAACAGCCATAGAATCCATCGAATCGACAATTGCGGAACTAGGGCAAATATTCACTCAGTTGGCCAATATGGTTGCTGAGCAACGAGAAACAGTACAACGTATTGACGCAGACACCGTGGACATCGCGTCGAATGTGAGTGGTGCGCAGAGAGAACTACTCAAGTATTATGCGAGCATCTCGAACAATCGCTGGCTGATGCTCAAGGTCTTTGGCGTGTTGATTGTCTTCGTGAGTTTGTCTTTGTCGAGAAATACAGGCATGCGAGTTCTAAACCCCTTTATTAGTTCCTTATCTTCATTCTTGTCTCATAATTGGACGCTGAGCGCAGTTTTGTCACATATTTACTGGGTCGACATTCATAACGTAATTTAATATCCAATAGCATAGCAAGGAATCACAGAATGCTCTATAGAATGAAACTTCAGCCAACAGGAATAGCATTAACGCCAGTACCCCAATCTTTGCTTTTAGTGCGCGGTGCTTTACCAGCCCTCGTGTGCTTCTTTCCCCCGCGATGTGTCGTGGAGTCTTCTGTGTCACCGACCGTCCATGTCCGCTTTTTCTGCACCTCCTGATCGGCGCCTGATGTTGTGGAGAATCTCTTTGCTCCGTCCATCCCAGAGGCTGGCTCTTCACCTTTTGATTTGGCTTTCTTATGGAGTTGTTTTTGCTGTACAATCGAGTTACTTAGCACCAAGTAGACTACGCTGGAAATATGGCTCACTCGCTGACTCTCCAACTCCTTGTTCCGCTGCTTCAACTTTGACACCCTCGCTTCGCCCTTGCCGCCGCCGCCAGCAGTAAGTTCAACATTGATCTGACGACCATCTAAACTGGAGTGATGGAGCTTGAGGCCCTGCTGAAGAGCATTGCGATGCTTGAATTCAAGAAAAGCGCATCCCTTGGATTTGATCGCAGGTCTCGAAGGTGGTTTATTGGTAGCTGGTTTAGGTGCTAGCAAACGGACAGTGGGTGGTGGATCTGAGCGCCGATGTTAAAACCTCCTTGTGTGCTACAGATCACTACAATGACTTACCGCATGCTGCGAAGTGAGCTTGTATTGATTCTAAGGTGGTGGTATATTTAAGATTTCCTGAGGTCAAGGTGTCAGTGAGCGGAAGGGCTCCTCAGGATGCTCGATCATACCAAGAAACAGAATAAAGCGTTGTTTTGATTTTTCAGTTTTTGACTCTGCCTGCTCAGCTTCCTCTGCATCCTCTGGAACAGTCCCGGAATCATCCTTCGTTCTCTTAACTTTCCGCTTCCCCGACTGCCCCTCCTCTCCCTCTAGATCTCCGGTTCCTTGTGCATCTTCCGTAACTTCCCTCTTTCTCTTTTTCGTTGCCACCACCAGCCCTTTTTTCTCTCCGTCCTTCTGAACCACGGCCTCTTCCCTTCCCTTTCCTTTCCCCCCAACACTCTTTTGAGCGACTTGAACGTCCTCCCCACCCTCCTCACCGCTAGCCCGACTGTCAATAAGGTCCTGAAGTTCGAGAATAGGGACATCGTGCTCCAAGTCTCCTTGCTGTTTTGCTTTGCCTTTGCCCTCGCGGAAAGCTATGCCCTTTTTCTGGCGTTTGGTGAGCTTGGGAGTTGAGGACATATTTATATCTGATCCTGAGCGCGTCTTTTAAGAGGTGACACGTTCCTACCGGGTTCGCTTGAAGCGAATAGACGGAAGATTAGATATAAAAGGCACACGTTGTGGCGAGAAGAAGTGAGAGAAGATTCCAATTATATCACGTGACGTTATATGTAGTGTCAAGTGTGAGAGACACGGTGGCACGACACCCTAGTACCTTGAACTAACTTGCCAAGGCAATTGCGCAATGCAGGACAGCTTCGCAGTGAGATCAGCCCATCAGTCGGATGGTATAGGCTTCAAACACCTTGGAAAGCAGGCCGATTCGAGCGTGCGTGGAAGCAAAATGCCCGCGAAGTTCGCACAACTTGCCAAGCCAGACCAATGAAGCGAGCAGGATTATAATTCTGCATGCCACTTAAGGTGTCCCTTTTACGGTCACTCAGCCTAGCGATAATCCATGCACGGCTTCGCCTGCACCCTCGATTTCTCTTTCCTCACCATCAGCTCCTCTCCGCGTTCGCAGAATCGGCCGTAAAATCGGACTCACAAGCCCTAAAGAAGGCCGAAGTACGGGGCTAGAAGATAAGCTCATGGTTCCTAGGTTCACCTGCCGTGAACTCGGGTAAGCTTGGAAGGGGTAACTGGACGTGACGGTGGGCGATGAGGTGGCTGAAGTACTAGAATTGGATTGAGGGATAGAAAGAGGAATCGGGACTGGAGGCCTGGAACTAGGTGTTCGAGGGTACGACACGAGTGAGGGGTGTGTTTCTCGCAAGTACGATATAGAAGGCGATACAGCACGACGTTTCGCAGATGTAGGATATGGATCATATCGATCGTCCACTGCCACGAGTTGTTAATGTGACGCCTCTGAATGATGTGCGGAAACCTTACATTTACGCTTGTTCGAGCGCACAGCGCTTGTAGTTGGTGGCGGCGTGTATCGCCATTGAATGGACATGGGCGTGGAAGTGATGGAGGGAGATACCGTAGGCTGTCCGGCGGTTAGGAAAAGATAACAAATGAGATAGTGGAAACATACGGGATCTATATCCATGGCTACTCCCATCGGGCTTTCTGCCAGGGACATGTTCAAATCATCCCCGTTTACACTCTGGGCAGGGGTACAAGGCTTCACGTTGATTGATTCGTTCTGTGCGTCAAAAGCAAAGAGGCCCTGGACGTCGTCATCGTCATCATCATCACTCAAAGGATCCTCGTGCGAATCCTCGTGGCCAACTTCTTCAGGGTAGCGACCACGGTCTGACGATGCACGAGGTGTACGGGGTTGCGAGGGGAGGTCGGAGTACGATGCCAACAGGCGTTGGAAAGCTGCCTCAGATTGAAGTTCGTCCTCTTCTGGACGTGGTTCTGCTAGCAGATTCAATATGCGCGGAGGCTTCAGCTGCATGAGATATTGATATTAGTATAGAATAACAATTATGCAGCATGGCACTCACTGGATAGGTGGGACGGCGCAATATTGAAATAGGCGTGTCTACAGCATCGGCTGGTAGTGCATTGGTGCTCAGACTACGACTTGGCGGCGGCGTTGAGGGACTGGGTCCACCACTGCGTGTGCTAGCATTGCTTTCGTCATCTCCTTCTGGTGGAAGAGTAATTGGGGGTGTTGGATTTCCTGAGCTGCTTGATGGAGAGCTTTCAGACCACATTCTCTCTCGGTCGCTTTCTGATTCTTCGCCATTACTCCCTCGTCTTCTGGAGGGCACAGTGAATGAAATTGCTAACGGACTTTGTATTCTTTTGTCTGAATAGTACGACGACTTGTTGAGTAATGTCGGTCGTCGCAGTCTCAAGAACAGTGGATTCGGCAAAACATCGTCGGCTGGTGTGGAAGATGCCGCGTTCGACGTTGATGGGAGTGCAAACTCTTCGGACGAGGTTGGGAAGGGCAGACGATGAGATGATTCGGACATGGTTGAGGAAGGAAAGGCGAATGAGCACGGTAGATGAATGACAACGTTGTGGCCTTCCAACAACCTTTACCAAATCCACAGGGGCATTCCCATTATGTTACATACTTGGTTGCTTTGATAAGGCAAATGCCGACTTTTGTGGATAATAACGGATATGCATCACCCCAGGAGGACAAAATAGCACCCATTTCATGTTCGGCCGACAAGTGGGGTGTGATTCACTCAGAACAACAATGAACTTCAACGAAACATTGCGGTTAACTATTGTAGCATGAGTTGTCGGCACGACACTAATAGTTAGCTGTTGAAGAATGTGAATCGCAAGATCATCCATTTTCCGCGAGTCGTCATATCGTCACAGGCGGGTAAGTTGTGGAGCACGGCCAAAGACATGTACCACATGCGGTACGCCTCATGGAAAAGGCCACAGATCGAAGAGCTCGCCAAGAAGGAATGCTGACTGAAGAACGTGCTGGTTTTTGATCATCTTTCGTGAGGCAAACTGCATGAATTGAGTCTCAGTGTGATAAACTAATCACAATGTGATTGGTGTCATCGACATTAACACGGCGGAAAGAGCTGGTAAGCAGCGTATGTAGCGGTCGACAATAGTCCTACAGAGACACGATAAGAGAGGGAAGGCAAGACAAAGAACATGATGCCACTTACCAAGCACTGACAAATTGCTGACGACACTTCCATACGTCCGCTGTTTAAACAATTGAGATGATGTCGAGTATCATGACAAGACGGAACAACGAACCCTCTTCGGTTGGCCCGACTTGTATCCAATCGTATAAACGACGCGCGAGAAGGAAAACGCAACACATATGGCAGCAGCTAGGGCAGGGTATTTCAGACCTGCCACGACAGTCCTGATGACAACCTCTGTTTCATGTCACTTTCTCCTCAAATGCAATGCAGACTTACGAAACGAATACCACGGGCGTCGATTCAAGCGTGTTTTGGTGTGCACCTGGGAAAGGGGTGAATCAAAAGCCATGCAACTACGAATTTAGAGAAAACATACGCTGCATGCAGTTGAAACGGAGGGCTGCAGTAGAATCTTTAACCTCAGCTTGCTCGGCATACGCTGCGGCGGAGAGCATCTAAGAGTCTAGACTGAGCAAGAAGTCACTCGGACGCACGTTGAGGATACTCGATCCCTGCTTTCTTGCGGTATCTTCCAACCAGGATGCCCTGCCAGACAAGGACCCACCCTATGGTGATCAACGAGCTCGGAATGTATCCATAGCTATACCAAATGAAGTCATGAAAAAGAGCATCGTAGCTAGTCGGTCGACGCACCCTTCAGGTAGAGACATTATTGCTTGAAATTTGAGTAGAAGTAGCTTGGACTGCAGTTTATGAAGATTGTCATGGTGAACTGTGGTCTGTATTTATAGTAAGCCACTACAGTACTTCAGGCCTCCAGGGGACACGTACTTGGGTACGCGCGTCGTCCTATGGGATACCTACGTGTTCTTTGGCTTAGCAAAAGCAGATTGATAATTCCCGAGGTGTAAAGTCCAGTGCTTGTGGTGCCAGGTCACCATCAGCGCTCGGCATGCTGACATGGAGCGATCATTTGTAAGCCCGACAATGTTAGGCTCAGGCTTGCCGGGAGGACGCGCAAAGTGCATGCCGGTCAATAATCGGTCAGGCACTGTTTTAAAGAAACAGTAATACAGTGCGCAGCTGCACAGATCGTTTGTACTAGAATACCTGTGGGGACCTGTAAGTACAACTTGGTACTGCTGTACAAGAACAGACAAGAACCATTGATGAGTCATGACTATCATCAAAAATTCCTTATGTAATCAACAGCCTAACCACGTGCTCGATAATTTTGTGATCTGAGTAGTATTTGCGAGGAAAGCAGTCTCAATCCGAGATGTCCAAACGAAGTGCATCTGACAGGGCAGCAGACGGCCAAGCATTCGCGAAGGCCTCTGGAAGTGGGGCTAAGCGTGATGAGACTGAAGTAAATGATATCGGTGAGTTCGAGGATGCTTGGGAGGATGAAATCGAATCCGAAGAGGAGGTGGTTGATGGAGAGGCCGGCGACGACGAAGATGGTGCGTGATAGTGCTTTTCATATCGCTTCGGAGTGGAACTCACAGGTAATGTTGTTTAGGGATGGATGTCGATGAAGTGATGCCCGCCATCGAAGAATCCGAAGAACTGCCTCCTGCTCCAGAGGCATTTATCCCCGGAACGCATGTCCTTGGAAAGGATGAGATACTGGAGCCTGATGACTCAGTGTATATCATGCGCCATTCAATGAATGTGACATGGCCTTGTTTGTCATTCGACGTCCTCCGGGACAGTCTAGGGGACGAGCGGCAGCGTTATCCAGCAACTACATACCTCGTCGCTGGAACACAAGCAGATCAAGCAAGCAAAAACGAGCTCTCAGTCTTCAAAATGAGCTCACTACATCGAACGCAAAAAGATGGAGGTAATTTATGACCACACGTTTTTGCCAATCGATTCTCACAAATCGACATGTGCAGATGATTCAGATTCGGACGAGGATGACGATGCGCTCGATGAAGATGCCATACTGGAATTCCGCTCAGTACCTCATCACGGTGGTGTAAACCGCGTTCGTGCCCAACCCTTACCTCCAGCATCGCCTCTACCTCCAGCATCACAGCCCTACTTTACCGCAACGTGGGCTGACAACGGCAAAGTTCATATATGGGACATCAGGCCCCTGATCGAGTCTCTTGACGTTCCGGGATACTCGTGGGACAAGTCGAGAACTAATAAGCCAGCTTTTACCATCAACTCGCATGGTCGCGCCGAAGGATTTGCAATGGACTGGGCCTCATCAGGAAATGCAAATCCCTCATCGCTGCGTCTACTCACTGGAGACGTGCACTCGAAGATATACCTGACGACAACCACACCATCGGGATTCAACGCCCTTTCTCAGCCATTCACGTCACATACCTCCAGTGTTGAAGACTTGCAGTGGAGCCCATCCGAACCCACCGTTTTTGCATCATGCTCTGCGGACTGCAGCGTGCAGATTTGGGACGTGCGGAGTAAAGGACGGCAAAGTGTGGCCGGAATCGAGCCAGCGCATGAGAGTGACGTGAATGTCATTAGCTGGAATCGAAGTACTAGTTACCTCCTTCTTAGTGGTGGTGATGAAGGAGGAATCAAGGTTTGGGACTTACGCAATGTCCAAAAGAAAGGGTATGTCTAGGTCAAATTGTATACCACGCCCATGCTTACAGATCGTCAAGGACAACAGTGGTGCCTAGCCCCGTTGCCTCCTTTAAATGGCACACCGCCCCCATAACCTCTATCGAGTGGCACCCAACCGAAGACTCGATATTCGCTGCGTCCGGTGCAGACGACCAGGTGACCCTTTGGGATCTTGGGGTCGAACCAGACGATGACGAAATAGGCACACTGATGAATGACGCACCTGATAGTGCACGAGACGTCCCGCCACAGCTCCTCTTTGTCCATCAAGGTCAAAAGGATGTCAAGGAGGTTCACTGGCACCCGCAGATTCCAGGCGCAGTTTTGAGCACTGCACTTGATGGATTCAACATCTTCAAAACGATATCAGTGTAATTGTGCGCCGGAGGCCACACAAGTCATTATTGCCACCAAGCTGATGAAAAGTAGAATGTCGAGAAGTTACATACCTGGAATTTATAATAGATGTCACTGGCTGGCTAACAGGAGGAACACATTAACCGAAATGTCAACGACTCCTTGTAATTATCAGAATGGATACTGTAAGAGTACTAGTCCCAGAACATCTATGCATCAGTATAGCCCGGCACCATTGTTTCCCTTGGGTGCCCGAATCTACGCACAACATGAGCGGAGAGAACGAAGGAGTGATTAGGAAAACCTGCCTTGGCAATATTTTTATGCAGGATATCGGTGAGGACAGCGTAGACATTGCGAATGTCTATGAGGTTCTGGCGAGTAAAGAAAAATTGCTTCTCATCATGTTCTTTCAAGCCCAGCTGAATAATAGTCCCATCAGCGGATTAAGATTATATTACACAAGAGGTGCGTACTGTGTAGTCTTCTATGTGGGGGTACTTGATGAGTTTGGAGCAAATCTTTGCTCTTGCCAGATGATGTTGGCGAGCAGCATCGCGTATGTTATACGCGCTTTCCTGCGAACGGAGAAGTTCGCTAAGAACCTCTGAAAGAGTATCAGACCAATGATGCCAGAGCCAGTCCATGATTACTCACCCTCTTGGATTTGAACACCTTAGGCGTCAGACAATTTCAGTTTAGCCGCCACAAATAAGACCTGTAAACTTAACTCACCAAAGTTGTCACCGCTGTTCGAGGGAAGACGTCAAAAAGCGGCGCACTGGAAGGGAAACGGGCTCACTCTTCGATCCTGAATCTCGTGTCGATACAGATAATAAGATATGTCGAATAGCACGTACTTGGGCATTGTCAGGTTCACCCATAATTTGACTTTGTCCTATTTGATCATGTATAGTCAAAAATTACCCAGATGAACAGCCAGATACGTACACAAGAGTCGGATAGCTGTGCACACTCTAATTTGACAGTTTCATGCAGCTTCGAAATGAGTTTGTTGGCGTGCACAAGCTCTGGATATCTTGCGTTGACGGTCTCGTTCAGATGGGCGGGCGCAGCACTTCCGTCTTCATTGCGCTTACGCTTGTTAGATGATGGACCATTTGTCTCTGTTGATGACGGTGGAGGGTAGATTGTAGTGTCTGTCGATGCAGCTGCTTGAGATATTTGGTAGGGTGAATCATCGGTATTCGTAGACTCGATCAGGCTCGTAAGTTCACTGTATATAGGTGAGCAAAGGGATTAAAAAGTAGGAGAAATCATATCATGCATTATCTACAATCAACATGAGCAACAAGCCAGAGAGCACACAACAAATAGCTCACCTTGTTTGGGAACACGCGGAAGACGATGCCTTCTGCAGCCTCCGCGACCTTTGCACGAAAGTCCTATATATCATGTATTTTGTATTCAACACGCGTCACAGTTGCAACTGGCTGTGCTAACCTCGATACTTTTGGCAACTTCTTTACTCATGGACATGGTGGTCAGAATCATGAAGGACGTGCTAATTAAGCGCTGGCACGGAATTGCCTTTCATGTCAGCAATATTTGTAAGCAGCTTCAAGTCAATGCTACTTTAACTTAGACTTAGCAGTAAGTACTCTCACATCCACCGGATTTTGTACGACGTCTGTACACCCCAAGTGTGCTACATCTGTCAAAATACTCACGAAGTCCGTCAATTTACCCATAAAGAAAGGATATTCTATACAGTAGCATCCGCACAAACAGTTATCGAAGGTCATGGCAAACCAAGTGAGTCTTGGGTTTATACCTTAGCAAGTGGCTTTTCACAGCGGATACAGGATGAAGATTCAGTGATTTCAACACTGACAGGGTTTTCTTTGAATAGTGTTTTGTCAGGCCTATCCCTCTCTACAGGCGATCTTCCCAACAGCCTTGGTATTTCCGGATTGACTTCCTTGGACGCCAAACAGATTTACAATGACAAGTGGGACGACGACGCCGTCGGTGCAGATCAGGGAGAGGACTTCGAGGATGAAGTGGACAAGGAGTTTGAATCCGAAATGCCGGAAGACTTTGTAAAGATGGAGGTTCAATCCCCTATGAGCATGCGTCCTATGGAGAAGCGCGTTAGGGTAGTGAAGCGGCTGGTGGAGAGGCCAAAGACCGTTTATGAACGCTTTCCAGCCTTCGAGAAGGACAGGGTCCTTGACTTCTCAGAGTTATTCAAAGGGTACACGGTCAAGAAATCGAGGATAACAAAGAGGCCTTTACAGGGTATGAATTGTCCCACATAATTTCAAAGGATGTTAACCGTTGTATAGCTGAGAGTATTTACCCCCGGAAACGCGATATTCCAAGGGGTTTCCTTGATACCGTAGTCGGTGATACCAAGCGGCAGGTCGAGAACAAACGTGTGGAGGAGGTCATGTCTGCGGGCAGCATCGAACACGACTTGTTGCGCGCTCTCGAGGTGAGTTCCAATCGCGGGTGCTCCTTTTAATCCCTCATCACGCGTAGGAACGGGAAAAATCAGATGTGCCCGTCACTCTTCCTTTGCACAACAGAAGTTTTGATTTGGTACTGCTATCTAATTGGGAGGACGAGATTGTGTATGAGCCGAGCCACACGGCTACGTCATCCACTCTGGAAGACAATAATCTCACCACTCCGGTCAACAAAGCTCTGGAGTCGGGTGCTTGGACTCAAAGCATTATTTGGAGCCGAAATGCCCCTTTCCGCGATTTCATTCAACTTGAACTTAACGAAGAAGATATTGCAGAAGAGCATCCTCAAGGTAGTTCCCCTATCTCACTATTGTCGCGGGTATTTTTGCTAATATGCGGTGGCATTTAATTGTAGAGACCGTCAGACCGAAAAAGCGTATTAGAGCGCATGATGCTCAAATCCGCGATAAATTTAACCTATCTAACGATCACTTCTACGAGGTGTCGAAAGAAGGTGGCCGTCACCGCGTGCGTCAGACGTTTGGACAACTTGTCGTCGAGCATGCCTATCCCGCTCAGAAGCTCCAACTTCCATTTGTGCGTAAATTGATTTCAGCATTGACTGTAGTGATCTTCTTATCTATCTTCTCCATCAGTATAAGACGAGGCTTTCAAAACAGGAAGCCCGCTCCTTCCACCGGCCCGCCTTGCAGTTTCCAACCAATATTGATATCCGCTTTAGCAAGGTGCGCACGGCGAAGAAGAAAA